ACTATGCCTGTGACTGCTGGGACGCTGAGACCAAAACCTCTTATGTACGTTCAGTGTTTGCTTGAGGACCTTCTAATTTCACCTGTCTCATAGATTAGGTGTTCATTTGTGTGTTTCTTCATACTGTTTTTTTAGGGGTGGATTGAGATCGTGGGGTGTGCTGATCGCTCATGTTATGATCTTTTGTGCCACGCACGGGCCACCAAAGTCCCTCTGGTTGCTGAGAAACCGTTAAAGGAACCCATATCCTTCAACGTTCTGCAGATCTTAATAACTACATTTATCAAAGCATTTGAATGGGATCTGAACTCTCTCAGCACAGGATGTTAGTTCTCTTTGTCCTCAGTTACTTTCCTTAACTGCTTCACACAAAGTTGTAAATGTTGTCCAGTTCGAGCCAAACAAAGGAGCCATCGGCAAAGCTTACAAGAAGGATGCCAAGCTTGCAATGGAGTACCTGGCCATCTGTGATGAATGCTATATCACAGAACAGGAGAAACTCCTCAACGAGAATGGGTGAGTATCATCAAGAAGAGCATTCAAAATTTTTAATGCCAGTGACCCCCAAATATGAAGCAATATCATAAGAGTTTTAACCAATAGTCAGAGCTAAAATAGGTATTTTTCTCAGTCCATAGTGCCCACCAATGTTATTCTGTTCATTTATTGGTTTCCTCTCTCAATGCAGTGAGTTCACCATTGAGACTGAGGGCAAGACTTTCAAACTCACCAAGGACATGGTCAACATCAAGAGGTTCCAGAAGACCCTGCATGGTAAGAGGCAGAAGCTACGATTTTAATGTCAACATAAGAATATGTAAGAGATTTTATTGAACTTCTCTTTCTCCACAGTTGAGGAGGTTGTTCCTAATGTAATCGAACCCTCCTTTGGCATCGGGAGAATCATGTACTCCATCTTTGAGCACACATTCCGTATCAGGGAGGGTGATGAACAAAGAACGGTAAATGCAGTATGCTGTAATATTCTGTAATTAATACTTTTTTATGTTTGTCTTGCTTTATTAATGAAGTTTTCTTCTTTCTCTTCAGTATTTCAGCTTCCCTGCCACAGTTGCACCATATAAATGCTCCGTCCTTCCATTGAGCCAAAATCAGGAATTTATGCCATTTGTTCGAGAATTATGTGAGTAGTACAACTCTACTATTACTTATAAAAATGTATAGATACTATCCAAATAATAATGCACAATTAATGCTTTCCTCTACAGCTGAAGCCCTGACCAGGAATGGTGTTTCCCACAAGGTGGATGATTCCTCAGGATCTATTGGCAGACGCTACGCCAGAACGGATGAGATTGGTGTGGCATTCGGTATCACCATTGATTTTGACACGGTTAATAAGACGCCCCACACGGCCACTCTGAGA